TCTGCTATTTAGATGTTTCTGATTTGTCCTCTCCTCTCTCTTGAAACCGCTAGTTAACTTTTGAATTCTCGTGTGTATTACTGTACCTCCCAAGTGATCTCTTTGCCTCCAGCCAGTCTTCCTTTCCAATTTATTTCTTAAACTGCCAGAATGGCAGTATGCATCTGGCATATCCTCAGTGTAGCCTTCAAGCTCTTCACCATCTACCCCTGCTCATCTTGCCACCGGCTTCAATTCCTGTTACTCACTCGTTAACACTGCAGCCTAATAACCTATCTCCCAGTTGGATCTGACTGGCTAATAAAAAGCACACCCTCGCTCAAGTCTATGTTTACACCTGTTCTTCCTTCTTCATACTTCCTGCTCTCTCCGGAAGTCAGCTCAAGTGTAAGCTGAGCATCATGTCCGCGAATCATGTTTGTATCCCCCCAGTCTTGATGAACTACTCCAGCTTTGTGTCCCCATAATATATGCTTATCCCACTCTTATCCTCACACTCTTTTGTGATCTTCTGTCATCTACGCTTTGTCTTCCACTGACTGAGTTTCATGAAGGGAGTGACTGTAGTTGAGTATACTCAGCACTTGTTTAGTGAATGGATGGAAGCCAGCATCAGAAACTATTGCTTGACTCCTGGAAATCTTTGAGTCCAGTAGGTATCCTTGAGATGCTAATCTCGGCGTTTTTGTGTGCCAGTTACAGTTGTCTTGAGAGAAAAACCTAGAGTTTATAGAGGTTACAAGCCAACTGCACTGGGGAGACTAAATACAAGGCAGGCCTGGTTTTGTTTCCTTAAGTTTTATTGGTCTGCTCCTTTGTGCCAAAAATAGCATCTCTATTAATGATATCTCAATTTGAAATTGGTCTGGAAACAAAGCTGCTTTTAATGGACCCTGCTTGGCATCAGAGTTTGAGAAACTGGTATTTTTTCCCTGTGTCCAAGTAGCTTAGAAGAGGAGGAGGTGGTACCAGATCAGGAGCCCCTCAGAGGTGCCTTAGGACGTACCTGAGTCAGCCACTGGAATTGTGGGTAGGAGGGAGGAGCATATGTGGCAGACTGAGCTGTGACTGTTGGAATTGCCTGGAGCATGCGTGTCTTTGCAGTATGCACAAATCCATATGACTGAGAGGCCAGCCTATCTCTTGTGGGTGGGTGGGATGGTGAGATTGGGGGTAGTAATTAGTTCTCAATGTTAATGGCCTCAGATGAGGCTTAAATCAGCCAGCATACTTGATTGAATTCCCACAGTGTCCCACACAGACTGTACTGGAAGACATTTTTAAAGTTTCTATTGTTATTGCCATTGTTAACATGGTTTGTGACTGTAAAATATTGTTGAGATAATTCTCTTTGCTAATGGAGCTCTTACTCTTTTCCACTTTCCATCATTGGCCACTCACCTTCAGTTTTAACTGCTGGTTTCTGGTTTCCACTAGCCCAAAGGACCCTGGTATTTTGCCCCGTCTGTAGACTGCCATCTGTGGTAAAAGTATACAGCATGTAAGGAAATAACCCAGGTTTAACTTTTTGTTTTTTTGGCCTAGGAATGCTCTGTGGTGAAAAGAGAATTGGCTATATAACTAAGAGTCCTACTCATGGCATAAAGCTGAAAATTACTGTCATCCTGGAAGTAGGAGCAGCATATTATTTGATAGTAGGTAGGGGTAGAGGAAACAAACTAAGCCAGCGTGCTCTTTTCATTGCTCATGGGCAATGAAGTTTCTTTCAGATTCAAGAAGTCGTGCTGTTGCATTAATTTCAGGACCCAGGTGACACACGATAACGACTTGAATAATTATTATCACTCATTTCTATTGCATATTAAATGACATGAAAATTCTACCAATTTTAGTCTTCTAATCCTTTCATGGTATTTCTGAGTCAGTTCTCAGGTCAGATATGTGTGGAAAGGGGCCAGTGGACAGGATATCTCTATACACTACATAGAAACACTTTCTGCTAGCACAGAAGAAGTGGTGTGAAGACATCCTCAGATGAGGCTTGCCTCAGCTGGCGCACTCAGCTGACCCCTGGGTTGGGTTTGGCGCTGTGAGTGAGGACAGGTCCAAGATCAGTAAAAAGGCATACTCCTTGCCCATGAAGAATGGAACTTGGGGAAACAGTAAATGAACAGGCCTATGAAAGAGAAAGGAGTTCCAGGAGGTAGAAAGTGCTCCCTGCTTTGCTCAGGCGCCTTAATTCGCCTTGCCAGGTGGTAGAGGTGAGTGTACTACTGGGACTAACTTGATCCTGAACTTGATCCACGTGACAGCAAAGCGAACCAAAGGACAGTGTATGTTTTGCGGTAGGGACTTGGTCAGCCTCCGCTGTACTCAAAAGTTGCTAATCATTTAGTCAGTAATAGTTCCAGCCATGGAGGATAGCCGGTAACTAAATTCAGAATATGGGCCAAAGCCTACTACCTGACCTTTAAAGCAGAGTCTTAATCTGGAACTGAAAGGAGGAACACAGTAAGAACAAAAAAAACTAAGGCGGCTTGGAGAAAGGTTTACATTTCTGGAGGTGGCAGTAGCAGAATCAGATGTCTGGCCACCAAGTTTCGTGAGGTCTGTCCTTGCTGGCTGGGCAGGTACCCTCCTGCTGCGGGGAATCTTTGGGGATCTGCCTGGGTGGGTTGAAGCAGGCTGGGCAGGGAGGCTGGTTAGTGGGTGACTTGACTGAAGTTGATTCTGAAGGTTGAGCCAGGTCCTCTCCCTGGGGTGTGAGCCCTCTGGGTCAGGGCAGGGCCCATCTGGGGAACCCAGGAAGCACCACGCCTGGCTCATTAGTGGATGTCTGGGGAGGCCTTTGAAGATGAAACACTCCATAAGCACTCATTGTTTCTGGGTTTTGGACAAACTAGTACTTTGGTCTCCAGGGGCTGTTGATCTGGCTTCTTTGTATGATTCTGGAATTTGCTGCAAACTGAGGGGAGTAGGAGAAAACAAATCTGAAGTAGTTTTTGAGAAAACAGTTAAGCTCCCACCAGACCCCCATACTTTAGCGTGAAGAGAGAATTCCTCCCCATCCACCTTTCACATCGTGGGTTCGGGTGCACTCTGTCTTGACCTGGTCCTTTGCCTGCTGGGTTTGGGGTGTGTGTCTGGTTCCCAGACGCTATAGAGAATGCCAGTAACTGGCATATGGTGACTGCTGAATAAGCTGCCCGCTGACACGTGTCCTGCAGGCACAGAGAACTGACTGGCACAGGCAATTCTGAACCCCCATCTCATTGTTGTTTCAAAGATGCCTTTCTGTGGCTGACCTATGCCATAGAGAACGGAGGGGAAGAGAGCGGGAATGACCGACTGTGATATTTATGGGGGCAACGCCTAGGGTAGGCACCTTTGCAGTACTTAGTGCTTTTTACGGATCCTGCTGCTCAGCAGGTGTCTGTTGAGTGCCTGTCTTGCATCAGCACAATGACCAACCTGAGTGAGGTCTAGTGAGGTCAGTAGAGACCCTGGGAATTAGTCCAGTTAAATAACTGGAATATAGCTATGAATGAAATAGGTAAGGAGCTGACGTTACAGAGGGAGGAGTAAAACAATACTGCCAAAGCCAAGTACGCAAAGTGCCGTGCAGAAAAGTAAAGTGGAATAGGTGGGGTAGGGTGGTGGTGGTGTGTGTTTTGTAGCTGGGTATGGAGCCTCCGGTGAGGTGACATGAAGGCAGCGAGGCAGCCCAGGAAGGTGACCTGAGAGCAGCGCTCTAGGCAGAGTGGACAGCAAGTGCCGAAGCTTCGAGGCAGGACGGTGTTAGGGGGATTAGCATGGAGGGGAGAGTGGTCTGCTGAGAGGCAGGGGGTTTGCAGGTCATGCAGCCCCCGATGTGGCTTTGGGGTGTACTGAATGGGAGCTACGAGGCCAAGAGCAGGTTTGTAGAGAGAAACAACATGCACTGATTTTGGACTTTTTAAAAGATTATTTTTGCACACAAGAACTGGGGTACAGGCCAGAGGTGCAGGGGATATGAAGGTTCACCAGAGACAAGAGTAGGGAGCAGAACAGACAGATCAATAAAAACAGTGCCGAGTGGGCAGCAGGCAAGACAGGAGAGATCTGCTGTGCCAGGTAGGGCACCTCCCTGGCTGGGCATCAAACTGCTGTAGTCGCTGCCGGTAGCTTAATAGTGCTGTGTTAACCCCTGCCACCAGGGAGGCCCTGATTTTGATGTAAAATCATCGTGGCTGCTGTGTGGAGAACAGACTGGGGGTGGAGGCCTGGAAGAGGCAGGGATAAGATGACTGCCTCATTGCAGCCAACCATGTGAGCAGCTGCCTTTGAATTGGCCACCGTGAGCCCAGAATTTAAGTGCCTGAAAAACGAGGGGTAGGCCACTCCCCACCGCATCTCCCATCTCTCGGTGTGTAGCGTGAACAGGGCACAGCTCTAGCAGCCGGTGTTTCATAGGGTAGAAAGGATCAGCTGCTTTTAGGATTGCTGCTTCCTTGTTTCTGCCTCATTCATTTTGGTGGGTAGTAGAAGGTGAGATCGCAGAAATACAGGATGGGAAGAAGTAGAATCTCCATTTTAGAGCATAGAGCATAAACCTTGGGAACCTGGCAAGCCTGAACTTTGTCAGGAGTCACAAAGAGCCACTCCTCATTCCACTCCCTCCTTTCCCACCCTTTCCAGGAGTCTCAGGGTAGGGTTGGGGGAGGGAGGGGCATTGATGATCGTGCAGTGCCCTGGGGTGTAGTATAAAGTGTCAGAACTGAAGGGACTTTGGAGATCATCTGCTTGGACCCCTCTCCCTCCATTTTCAGGTGCAGATAGGGACAGGTAAAATAACTCGCCCAAGTCACACTGGTGGCTGACTGATACTGGGGAACTTGATGGATCACTCCACAGCTCCCAAGGGCCCAAGACATGTCTGAGTGGGCTTTGATCTTCATCGTCCCCTCAGGCCCTCAGTTTCTCATGACTTTGGCAATTTCATTTAACATGAGGTCTCATAAGCAGACAGTGGTAGTGAAGCTTTACGTTTCTCTGTCCAGGATCAAGTCCTCCATCCCTAGGACCAGGCTAACACCAGACTGCCACTGCCTCTTGAGCCCTCCTGTCCTCACAAGAGCAGCTGCTGTGATCATGGGTAATATCTTTGGAAACCTTCTCAAGAGCCTGATTGGGAAGAAGGAGATGCGCATCCTAATGGTGGGCCTCGATGCTGCAGGGAAGACCACCATCCTGTATAAGCTGAAACTGGGGGAGATCGTCACCACCATCCCTACCATTGGTAAGGGCACAGCGTGGAGGTCGACTTCCATGCCAGTTGCCAGGCAGGGGCCCTTTCCTGTGCTTCCCTCTGGCCTCTCCTCCCCCGGCAGGTCCATGCAGTTTGTGGGGCTCGGCAGGAGGGCGGTATAGCTTGGCGGCAGGTGCTGGGGCTGCCGTTTGCCCACCTACCCCAGCCCTCTGATGGGGAACTTCCACAGCCTGGCATTCAGCAGCTGCCCTCAAGCGCTGAGCTAGTTTGTTCTCTGTGTTGTTTGGAAAGCAGGTGAAGGGCTTTGATGTTCCTGCCAGAGGGTTGGGATTGCTTCAGTTTAGATCCTCGGTGGCCCCGATCCTGGTTAAGACCTGCCTGTGGGAGGGAGCGTGGCCGCGTAGATGGGGCTCCAGATCATCATCTGCAGCTGCTTCTGCATTTGGGGCTCCAGGCGATAGCTGCGTGCTTTTTCTTCACTCTGCCTTGCAGGCCCTACTTCTTAGGGGAGGTAGGCTCTGTTGGTCAAGGTACAGGAGCGGGGCTGAGTCATTTCTTGTAGCAGGGAGATCCAGAAACTGAGGGGGTGGGTGGGGAGAGTTGACTCACGTTTCCCAGGCTACTGTGAACCTCCCGACTGGCCAGTCTCATGCTCTCCCCCTTCTCTTAGGGGTTTTGTTGTTGTTTTAACTTCAGGCTCCTGGATCAAGGGACACCAGGTCTTAGTCTTTCCCTTGCTGGGATCATGGCCCAAAGTGGGAGAAGTAGAAAGGAACCCGCTGGGGCCTCATTTATAAATGTGGTATTTGAGATCAAGTGGCCAGAACCTGTATTTTCCCCAAAGGGTTCAATGTGGAGACAGTGGAGTACAAGAACATCAGCTTCACAGTTTGGGACGTGGGTGGCCAGGACAAGATTCGACCTCTCTGGAGACACTACTTCCAGAACACCCAAGGTACGGAATGTGCATCGCCGGGTGTTGGCACGGCTGGCTGGTGTGAACTGAGAGCGCCGCTGTCATTCCTGGTTATGGGCCCCCAGGCTACTGCTGAGGCCCGCGAGGGGAGGGATGGGGGCGGTGTTCGGAGGGGAGGGCGAGGGGGTCTGTCTTTTGGTGGTGGGGGAGGAAGCTCACTTGTCACCTCTGAACACTCTGCTCTCTCGCCTAGGGTTGATATTTGTGGTTGACAGCAATGATCGGGAGCGAGTCAATGAGGCCCGGGAGGAGCTGATGAGGATGCTGGCAGAGGATGAACTTCGGGATGCTGTGCTCCTGGTTTTTGCAAACAAACAGGTGAGACTTTTCCCTGCCCCTGAATTTGAGAGAGGGCAACCCGCTGTGGAACCCATGGCCCGGGGCTCCTGGTGTGGGAGGCCTGAGACCAGGCTGCCAGCTGTGGAGACTGGGACACGGATTAGTGCGCTTTATGCACGACTCTGGTCGCCGCGCAGCTTGCTTCACTGCGGATCCTTCGTCTGCCCGGCTGTCTACTTTCGTGGGACGCCCCTCATTCCTGTGGTGAGACAGACTCGATTCTCTGCTCAGTCTGCATCACCTCTCGCTTTCCTACCAAGCCCAGATTTGGTTTCCGGCTCCCTATGGAGTGACCACGAGCGCCTTGGGTCTGGGGTGCTGGGAGGACGAGCTCCAAAGCAGCTCCTCGCGGTCTTGTCCTGGGCTCCTCCTGGGCTCCTCCGTGAAGGAGCAGGAGAGGCCACAGCTGCGTAGCTGTCTGGTGGCTGGGGACTCTAGAAGCCTTTCGGAGACCCTGAGCTTCCTTTCTGTGCCTCTCCCTGTGCTCCAGGATTTGCCCAACGCTATGAACGCTGCTGAGATCACAGACAAGCTGGGCCTGCACTCCCTGCGTCACCGCAACTGGTACATTCAGGCCACCTGTGCCACCAGCGGGGACGGGCTGTATGAAGGCCTGGACTGGCTGGCCAATCAGCTCAAAAACAAGAAGTGAGAGCCAGGCCACCTCTCCGAGCACCGCCCCATCCCTGACACACCCATGTTTCCCTGCCCCAGCCCTCCCCCTCTCCTGTTGTCAGTGTGGCCAGGGCCTGGATGCCGCGTCCCATGCCCAGCAAGAGCCTTTCCTCCCGCTCCCTCTTCTTTCCTGTTCACCAACATGACCAGTCCCCAGTTGCTGTCCTGATGATGAATCATTCCAATTTACCAGATTTAAAACAAAAACAAGGTTGTTATGGTTTCGTGGGGTGCCGCCCCCATGTTCTGGGGCTTGGGAGGCAGGGAGGGGTGTTCTCTCCGCCTGCCTCATTTGGCTCTGGCTGCCGCGCCCTTCCCTCTCCGCGCAGGCCCTCTCCTCTGCCCCCCTCCCTTTCCCTCGGCACCTTCTCCTGTTCTCCATGGAAGCTGCACGGGCCTCTGTGGGCGTGCATGTGTGGCGTGTACATACGTGTATAGAGAGACACATGGGGGCCAGGAGAGGAGGGGTGGCATGCAGCTCAGGCTCGGAGCCAGGTCTTTGCCCACCTAGCCCTTCGGCTGTCCCCCCTCGCTGATGACAGGTCAGGCAGGTGGAGGGAAGAAGGTGGCCATAGTTTTGCACTGGTTCCTCTCCTTCCTGAGGGGCTTTCCGGGCTGGAAGGACAGGTGCGGATTTTCCATTGCCATTTTGCCCGTATCCTGCTCCCTACCCTGCTTGTGGCAGTGGGGTGGCATTTGTCTCTTGGTGATTGTTCCCAAGGAGATGTCATCTTGCCTTCTCCCAAGAGGGGAACCCACTCTTAACCGTCCGAGTGTTCAACTGCTCCTCCCCCACGTCTGTGGAGCTCTTCCTCAGCTGCTTTGGGGGGAGGTGGCTAGCAACCTCAAGACCTTGGTGAGGGCAGGGTGGGGGGCCTCAGGTTTTGGTCTTCATCCTCTCGTTATTCAGTGATCACTCGTACTCCTGCCTTCCCACGCTCCCTCCCTCCCCCCAGCCTTCTGGTCACCTGACCTTTGTCAGAGTTCCCTCAGCCTGGTAGTCCCAAGCCTGGGTGGGTGGTTTAGTGGGAGTGTGGGAGTGGGGGTGACATAACAAACCTCAGTAGCAATCCCCCTATTCCCCATTTCTCTTTTTCTAGTTCAGGATATGCTGAAGGATGAGTATTTTCTATTCGGTTTTCAGACCCTCAGACCACCCTGCCATCTCTCTTCGCTCCTTCCCAGCAGCTTGCCCGTCCTCTTCTCCACGTCCCGTGAATGGAGCTGAGGCTTAGCGTGAAGGAAACAACTCGGAAGTGGTTATTGGTGCTGCTTGATGCAGTGGTCTCTGGGGCCTCCGTTAGTGTGTGGTTTAGAAACTGCTGCTACTGTGTCTCTCTGCCTGCAGGGGGCGCTGCCCCTGGGGTCCTGGCCTGGGTCCTGACCGCAGTTTCTGTGAAGCCCGGCTTTTCTGTGGGCTCCTGTGTGTGCTGGCTGCGCCTGAGCTCCAAGACAGCCGCTTAGAACCTTTCTGCTGAGGTCAGGAGCCAGGACCCCCACAGCATGGCTGAGAGCCCCCTTCCCCGAAGGGCTGCCCCAAACCCCACCCCAAGGGACCAGGCTTCCTGCCACCATTTCAACAACAGGCAGAACAATAAATCCCCCACCCCACCCCAGAATGAACTGTGAAAGGGGTTCCAAGGGTGTCCTCAGTGCCAGTTCCTCAGTGCTGTGTTACTTACCCAAGGTGCAGCAGGCGTGTGCAGGGCGCTGCTCTCTAGGCCTTCGTGTGTATGTGTGTGTGTGTGGTGACTGGGCCGGGGGGCGGGGGTGGGTTGCTGGAGCTTCTGTTTCATTTTATGGTGTGTTCATTCACTCCCTGACCCCACAGATGCTTCCTTCCCCATTTTTCCTTGTCTCTGTCTCAACGACTTTTTTTGTTCCGGCTCCTGTTGCCTCTCCTCCCCAACTCTCCCTCGCCTCTGGACTCCTCCAGTGCCCTGTCGCTCCTTACCTTGTTTGCTCCTATGCGGGGCTCCCTGCTCTCTGCGGGTGGGGATGGTTTTGCCTCTTCTCCTGCCTTAGCCCCTCTCTGGCTCTCTGTAGTTAGATGCCAGTCTGCATTCCAGGCCCACCCCACCTGGTTCTGGGGGCCTTGGGGCAGAGGAAGTGGGGTGCTGCGGCAGAGCTTGCCTCTGCTGCTTGAAGTTGCCCAGCAGGGCAGCGAGCGGCCTGGGCACCCGTCTCCTGGCGGGTGGGCCTTTCCACACTCCCACTCCTCTGAAAGCTCTTGGGACTGGGTGTCCATTCCATTCTGTCCACCCCTGCCCTGACTCTCCTCTGGTAAGTTTAACTTTATGCTTTCTTTTGTTCCAGACTTTCTTCTCCCTGGGGACTTCCCCTCTCTCCCGCCCCCCCCCCCCCGAGTTTATTTGTGGTGATGTAGTGGTAACTGCAGTTCTGAACTGGTTTTTCTCTTCTTTTTTCTCCTCTGGAATGTAGACTGTATATGTTTAATAACCCACCTTCTCTCTCCTTGCTCAAAATGTGGGATACGCAATGACTGTGACCCTGGTTGGAAATTAAACTTGTTTTATCAGCTCTGGAGCAGACCTTCATCCTTGTGGGCAGCAGCCACGGACGGACGGTGGTTTTCCTGGTAGGGCAGCTCTGCTCCCACCACTCCTCCAGTCCAGACTGCGCCTTCTCTCAGCATGGGGGCGAAGGGCACACCTGGCTGGGGGAGGAGTTACAGTTACGGGGACCTCCATGCTGCTCGCTTCTTCCCGTCCCAGCCCAAGGGAGCTAGACCAACTGGGCACCAGACTCTTTTCGGGCTTCGTGTCTTTGTTCCTCTCATTCTGGAGGGTTTAACTCTGAAGGTGGCCGTATTCATCACCTGCTGATAGACGTTAGGGACTTCAGTGGCTGGAGGACCCCGGCCAGCCCTGCGCCTGAGGTGCTTCTGCTTGGAACAGGGTCCCCTTGGCCATATGTGGGACTTCACCGCCCCCCCCCCCCATCCAGTTCTGGCCTTCCGCGGCTGAGCAGCCTGCGAGGTAACGTGGTATAAGCTCAGCCCACCGTCCACGGATGGCTCGGCATCACTTCTGCTTCAGCTGCGGGACGCCACGCCTCACCCAGAGTTGCCACAGATGCCCTGGAGAAGACACCTGTTCTCAGTCTTCATCCCTCCCTACCCACTCCCACCACTCCTCTGTTCCTGCTGCTCCGGCCTGACTCCAGGCAAGACAGGTGTGGTGCCAGCTGTGGGGCACTGAGGTCTAGGTGAGCCAGGTGGGGCCTCCGCACTCAGCTCTTTATTAGGCTGTGAGGACTGAGGTCTTAGTGCCCGGTGTGGTAAGGCACAGGAGCTGGCATTGGAGAGGAAGAGCCCTGGGTGCCAGTGTGGGCGGTGCCGTTTGCTGCCTTCCCTGCTTATTTTCCTTCTCAGCCCCTCTTTTGTTCTTTATAGGCCGTCACTCTCAAGACCCCTGGCTGCTGTGAAACCCTTAAACTACTCCCACCAGACATCGCTTTAATCACGCCCATAAACCTTGAATATTTCCCACTTAGCCCTCAGACATCAGGTAACACTTTTCTTCTAGGCTCCTTAAAATGTCCTGCTTGGTGACTGACGCTCCTGATGAGTTAGGAGCATCTTTCTCAAGTGCTTTATTACCTGTTACCTACTAATAAATAGGCACCTTCTAGAGCTACAGCCTCTCATAAGATAGTGATAAAGACTTGAGCAGAATTGTAGGTGTGTGTGGGGTGGGGGTGGTGGACTTTCAATCCATGAACAACCTAGTCCCCTCTGACCCTTAGTCCTCAGGTTATTTACTTTTAAAAAAAGATTTATTTATGCATACAGAACTGGGGTACAGGCCAGAGGTGCAAGGGTGGTGAGAGGATTCACCAGAGACAGAGTGGGGAGCGGAGCAGGCGGATCCACTGAGATACACTGCTGAGGGGAGCAGGGGGCAGGTCAGGAGAGGTCTGCTGCACCTTGTGGGTCACCTCTGGGCCGGGGTGCTAAAGGGGCTGCAGTAGCTTCCTAGCACTTTAACCAGTTGTGCCACCAGGGAGGGCCCCAGACCTCAGTTTAGAAAGGCAGGAAGAGGCAGAGGGAGCCCTCTTGTGGTGACTGCTTAAACCATCCGGCTTGTCTTTAGGAGACAGGTGAATGAAGGGACACGAGCTGGAAGGTAAACGCTTAGACCCAGCTCGTAGGACAGACAGCAGTTCCATCTGTCCAGAATGCAGATAGCTCTTTAGTCGTGTCTTAGTCATGGCAGAAGACCTGGGCAGGGGAGCTTCCACAGGGAGTCTCGAGAAAGCCAGTAGAAGGCCTTGGGTTGCCAGGTGGGGTGGGGTAAAAAGCGGTCCCTTTCATTCCAGAGTGTGGGGCAGTGACAAGAAGAGCGAGTGCAGATGTGTATTAGTTTGTCAGGCAGGAGGTATCTGGCCTGAGGGCTCTGGGGACTCAACTGCCTCCATTCAGGTGTCTAGTTTGGTCAGAGCAGAAACTTAAACATACCAACGGTGAACCTTTCATGTTTCCAGACACGTTCTAAGAATAGTATCAAACCTCTGTCCGGAAGGCGAGGCCTGGAGATGCGCCTCTGGGAGGGTCTGGATGCTTCGGGATGGCCACTTGTACCATGCGGGGAGGAACTAGGGGTGCACCATGCGGGGTAGCGATGGCTGGGGAGGAACTAGGGGTGCACCATGCGGGGTAGCGATGGCTGGGGAGGAACTAG